CTGCTGCTGCTGCTGCTGCTGCTGCTGCTGCGGCTGCTGCTGCTGCAGCCCTCATCGCTCGCCGGTAAGGGGGAATCACCGCAGCTGTTTTTTTGTAGATGTTTGGAGGATTTGCAGCCGTATTGGAGCCCCTGCACACTTGATGTGCTGCAACAGCAGCAGCAGCAGCAGCAGTGGCATCAGCAGCTGCAGCAGCAACAGCAGCTGCTGCAGCAGCAAGCCGCAAAAACATCAGTCTTCCAAAGATATGATTCTCCAGTGACTTCGATAGTGCATGCGGATCTCTTCAGTTGAATACAGTTTGTGGCTGGAGCAGCAGAGCAGCAGCAGCAGCAGCAGCAGCAGCAGCAGCAGCACGAGGTTGAGCCCAACGGCGAGCCACCGCAGCAGCAGCAGCAGCAAATGCTGCAGCGGCGTGTTGCAGCTGCAGCAGCAGCAGGCAGCAGCAAGCAGCTGACATTCAACTCACCCTGCTATGGAGGAGCCCCCTCGTGAACAGGCGCACTCTGGCTGGGGGGCCCCCAAGGCGGGGGGCCCCCCTGGGTCTGGTCTTCCGCCTGCAGCAGAGCTTCCAGCAGTTGCTGCAGCAACAGCAGCAACACCAGGGGGTGTTGCAGCAGCAACAACTGCAGCAGCAACAACTGCAGCAGCAACTCCAGCAGCAACCACTGCAGCAGGAGAAGATTCAACACGTGCACCCGTCGAGTCGCAGCAGCCTCCTGATCATAATCAGCAGCAGCAGCAGCAGCAACAGCAGCAGCAGCAGCAGCAGCAGCAGCACAATGGGTCTCTGCACACGGGTCGCCACGAGTATTCAGTGGCATTTGCCCCCAGCAGCAGCAACGGTGTGGCAGCTGATAGAAATGGAGGAAAGCCTGCGTCTGCTGCTGCTTCGTTAGCAGCAGGAGCAGCAGCAGGAGCAGCAGCAGCAGCAGCAGCAGCAGCAGCAGCAGGGCGTTCTAATGGGGTGGGGCCCATAGACATATCTGTGACTGTGGGGTCTGAGGCCAGGAGGAGAAGCACGCAGGGGCGGGATCGGGATCGTGGTGGAGGAGGCGATCCCGGAGCTGGCAACAGCAACAGCAGCAGCAGCAGCAGCAGCAGCAGCAGCAGCAGAGCTGGTGGTGGTGGTGTATTTTTTTTACGTCGTCGTGTTCGTATGTTGTTGCGTGGCTTAGAGCGTGTGCTGAGTGGTGGGGTTGTTGTTATTGTGCTCACAACCACAGCCCTAGACCTCCACCACAATACTAGTGATTTGTTTCTGCTGCCTGCTGCTGGCCTCTACCTGCTGATGCTGCTCTTCGCTTATATCTCTCTCAGAGTACCCAAATGGAGGAGACAGTTCAAGTCTTACCTACACGGTACACACACACTGCAGCAGCAGCAGCAGCAGCAGCAGCAGCAGCAGCAGCAGCACCAGCAGCAGCAGCAGCAGCAGCACCAGCAGCAGCAAAGCAGCAGCGGCAGCAGCAAAGCTGCAGTAGTAGTAGTAGTAGTAGCAGTAGTAGTAGTAGGGATAACTGCAGCAGCAGCAGAAGCTGCTGCTGCTGCTGCTGCTGTTATGTATCGTGCCTTATGCATATATGTAAATATATAAGTATATATAAATATATAAGTATATATAGACATATATAAATATATATAAATATATATAAATATATGAATATGTAAATATATATAAATATTTTTATATTTATATATATATGCATGAGGCACAATACACGGAGACACTGCATACAAGTTGGTGTATTTTAGTTAGCCGACGGCGACGATTGCCTTACTGTTTTTCTTTTTTTTTTCCTTTTTTTTATTTCTTGTTTTTTAATTTCT